ACTTTTCTCTAGTAAATACCAAAGGTGAAAAACACAGTAAGAATGGTAAGATGGTCACCAGTCAGTTAAATTACTCATGAGCTACTTGATAGTTTGGTTTTCAAAAAAAGTGCTACTGCCTAGAAATGATTAATAAAGCACTTAACGTAGTTTGCTTTTTTTTTTTTTTTTTTTTAACGTGGTTTGCTTTCTATTTGGCTGATATACAGCTGATATGCACCCAAAAGGAGTTCTTTTCATGGTGGACAGTTTTTGTTTTTCACAGTCTATTTTTCCCCCATATTGTTCCATTTCATAAAGGTTTCTACTAGTTTGTCCAGAATATTTTTTCACAAGAAACCTGTTTCTGTTCGTAATCTCATTTTGGAAACTTTTTTCTCATTTGCTGTTACATTTTAGTTTACTCAGATTCTTGATTCCCATATATAGGTACATAGTTCCAACAGAGGTTAAATACGGTTTAGAACAGTGGTTCTCAACTGGGCATGACTTTGCCCCCCAGGGAACATTTGGCAGTGTCTAGAGACATGTCACAGCTGAGGCAGCACCGCTGGCGTCTGGTGGGATGCTGCTAAACAGCCTCATCGGCTGCACAGGACAGCCCCCTCATGAAGAATTATCTGACCCAAAGTATCAATAGTGCTGACTATGGGAGACCTTGATTTGGAGTGAAACGAAGCAGGACATGCTGAGTCAGTATTTTCCTGCCCTTGCCGTCCTTATTTCTGGTTTTATAGAACAAAGGGTAAAGGGACTGAGCAGTATAGTGACATTGAGAACATTCTGCTGTTCCCTGTGTTTCATCTGACAACTGCGGTAACGAGCTCCGCCTTAGTCTGATGCCATTTGTTCTTTACTGTTAAGGTGATGCCATTTTCCTTTGGGATTGTCCTATCAAGAGACTAGGCCAAGAGCAGTGCATATCAATCCTGTCTTAGAGTGTACATTTCCACTGGTTGGCACACTAGAGTATTAAATTTGTGTTCCAGTTTAAATCCTAGTGTGTTGGCATATCTTGCTCACTTGTTGTTAAGTATAGATATAGGTAGATTTATATCCACTTATCCATAGTATGCAGATACTATTAATGTTGACTTTCTGGCCACAAGTTCTTTACTATAAAAATGATTGCTAATTTTGTTTTCATTTGTTAACATATCTTGTTTTGTTTCTAGTCTGTATGACTATACAACATGCCAAAATCGCTTTAAATAATATAAACAATAGAGAATTACTTACCTTCAGCCACTATTATATTTATTCTAGTCCCTTTAGGACTCTGTTTGGTGGCATCAGACTTTTGGGAAAGCAATAACCACCTGTATTCCATTTATATGAATAGCTACATAAACATGTGGGAGGTAGAACTGGCAGTTTTGGCGATTTTCCTCTTTCTCCTTTGTGGGAACAGTTCTTTCCAGCTGTTTTGCAATTTTAACTGCTTTTATGTTGGCACATTTATCAATCAATCAGTGTTTATAGGCCATGCAGGCGATAGATTTTATTTTTGTTTTAGGGCCATTGTTATACTTGTAATTAGAGGATCAATGATCTTCCCTCTTTCTAAAAGAGACTCAGTGGTACCTAAGTGAAAGCCTCGTTTAGCTGCTTCTGCCTCTGGTTCTCAGGCTTGCAGGTAGTACCTGAGTATGAGGAAGTGTTTGTTGTCTGGGGTTGGGCTGGCTTACAGTTGGACCTCGTAAGAAACCTCAAGATGTTGAGTTGACTTACATCTCTTATGCTTTTTATAGGGTCAAGTCAGTATCACGTACCATGCTTTAAAAGGAAATTATACTATTAATTTTGCCTTTGCAACCCTGTACGAGGGGTAAGTGGAACCCAGAATTTTAGTAATTGAAGAATGAGTCTCACTTCATTTAGTAAGATTAATTAAGGAAGGCTTAGATTAAAGAGTGAGTGAAGTTGCTTTGAAAAGTAGTCAGACATCTGGAATAAATAGAAGTTTCTAAAGACTTGGTGCACTTAATTTAATCATGTAGATTTTTCTCTCAGTGGGAAAAAAAAATGAAGTAATTCTAATTTGGTCATTTTCCTGGTGTTAGAAAGCAATGATTTAGTAGTAGTGTTGTGTGTAACTTACACTCTCAAGAAGCTAGAAGGTTAGTACTTTTAAAATTTGGGTTATTGGGTTAGCAATGCTTGAGAGAAAGTGAATGATTTGGTGAGCCTGAGCTAGTGATTCAGACAAATTGTGTGATACTCAAAATGGAATTCATTAGATCTACCAGAATGTATACTGTAATTTTTATATAACTTAGATTGTTCATTTCTGTTTTGATTATCAGATAATCCTGTATCTTGATATTTGTATATCAGTGTTAAAATGGCCTTAATTTGTTATGAAAAAGCAGCTACTCCAGCCGACGCTGTGGAATGGGAGCAGCTTTAACAAGGAGCTTTCTTAACAAATAAAAAGCCAGCAGAGGGAGCTCAAGAACTGTTTAAAAAAGAAAAAACTACCAAGAAAATGTTTTTGGTATTCATTTGTTCATTATGCAAGACATATATTGAGTATATACTTAGCAGAAAGTGTGAGAAAAAGCCAAGAAATGTACATTTGCAAATCAGGAAATTGAGCTTTAATTGTGAGATAAGAATTTATTTTTCCACACAGTATCACTTACTAATCGCCTGTAGGAGTCGCTCAGAGCACCTAACTGCAGCCCTAACAGCCCGTTTGCCATTGTGATTCTCCTCTTCCTTCCCACCCTCATCACGGATGCGCCCATCCTTACCACTTCTGGTGATTTCTGCGGGCTTGGACTAGCTCCATCTGAGAAGTCCCTACCAACAGTTTTACAAAAACAAAGCCTTTAAAGCTGCATTAGGCCAGTCTGTTGGGAAGGCACACCAGCTGGTGATGGCAGGCTCTTCACCCGTCTGTTATGTTGAGGACCGGTGGGGACACTTGAATTTGGAAGCCATGGTGCTGTGGCTGTCCTGTATCCCACCAGATGGCGATGTTCTTTATCTTTAAAAAGATGCTGCCAGTGTTGGCCTTGCTCTTATTTGTTTCTCCTCCTAGCCCAGAAACCAACATCTACCAGTTTTTGGCATCATTTTAAGTGAATAAAACCCTCTCTTCCCACTGTCCATAAAAATTGGCACTTGCCAGTTATTTTTTAGAGAATTAGGAAGCTCTTGGGCTCCCTCTACTGATACTAGAAAACACAAGTAGGTTCATTAACAAATACAAACACTACCCAGAAGGTTTCAGTGTCTTGCATAATTAGAATAAACAATGAATAAAGACAGCCTGAAGGGGCTGGTCCCATGGTATCTTCTGGCTTCTGTTGCCTAAAGCCAAAGAGCCTAGAAGCAGACCTGTGAAAAGGGCCTAGTCTGTGCTGGGGGACATGTGGGGAGATCACAGATATGCACACATGTCTTGTGTCTCCCTGCGGGAAAATGAACAGTTCTTGGCTATTCAAGAGAAGAGAAGGGCAAAGACAGCCTGGAAAAGACGTGCTTTAATGGGTCTGTGTGTTCTTGCTACCTTGGCCTTCCTTTGCTCATGCCCTCAGTTCAGCTTCCCATGAGTGTCTAAATTTAGACCGTGGCCCGGTACTCCGAATTATAAGTGAAGCATTACACAAATTTCATAGTTTTGAAGTCTCTTAACTTGTGTAAGTGTACTTTAAAGTGGAATTTTTATTTGGATAGTAAAAATAAAGCAGCAACCTTTTGTTGAAGTCTGGTGTATTACATTTAAAATCTTCCACGTACAGCTTCTTGATTAGGGAGAGCCAGCGCTTTGGCTCGTCTTGGGAGTAAAGGGTTAGACTGAGGGCGGCACGTGGGCAGTAAGCCTCATTTCAGGTGAGGAATTGGATAACACTGTCAGGTAAGATAATACAAGCTGAATTTTGATCTGTCTCTTTTTAGAAGGAGTGAAACTTCAGCTAATTAAAATTTTTGGAAAATATGTTCTAGCTATATCGACATAAAGTTTCACGACTGTCTGCATGAGTGTGGAGTCTGCTGAGGGCTGCATTGGTGGGGTCCCTATGCAGGACCACATGGCAAGTCCTATAGGTGGGGCATCCCCACAGGAGGCAGGGAGGCAGGCAGGAACAGGTCTGAGGTTAGCATGGAGGAGTGAGCAGCCGGAGGGAGAGAGCAGCTGGTGCAGGTGGGCTAGGATTGCTAGAGACTAAAGTGAGTGAGAGCTCCTGTGGGGGGGTCACATCTGTGGGGTGAGATCAGGGGTAGCCCTGTATTCACTGTGAGGAGCATGGGCTTGACTGTACCGTGATGGAGGACCACAGCAGGAGAGAAGTATTGCAGGCAGATCTTAATTTTAGAGGAACCTCTCTGGAGCCACATAGAGAATAGAGAACTCATCCTCTAGGAGAATATAGTTTGTAATAATGCTAGCTAATACTGTCCAGTGGTCAGTACTCATCTGTGGTTTTCTACTTTATGGCATTTATGTATTGATTCTCTAAAAATACCAGTGGATCATTTTTGTACTTTAGTGATTAATTCAGCTTCGCATTTGGTGGTATAAGCTATTAAATAATTACAGTATTTTGGAAAGTTGTGCATTTATCTGTTAAAAGGAATAATAGAGTTGAAATTCCCATTTCCTAGAGAGGAGTGTGTGACTTGCTACTCTCCTCAAATGTAAATTACCTATTCTGTGTATCACCTCATTCTCTCATTCCTTGGCATGCCTGTCCCTAGAATTCCAAGTGACTTTTATAGTTCTCAACCATTTCTGCAGCTTTTTCTCTTTTTTTTTCTTCACTTGGAAAAACAAAATGCTTTGCAGAACTTAAAATGTATTCTTGGAGTGGAATATTACTGTTAACAAGTGTAGAAAACTTTATGATGTAAATGCAGATTATCTTACTGTATAATTTTTGGGGGGGGGAGTATCTAAAACTACAGTTTTAGAATCGGTTGGTTCGAGTGGTGAAATTATTTTTTAAAAATCTTGAAATACATCTCCGCATGTTTTGTGTTCATGCCCACAGAAGTGGAAGAATGTCAGCAGTCAGAAAATGCACCTGCCGCCGAATCTGGCTGCCTGGTGGCGGAGCAGCCGCACATCACGCGGAGTAGCAGCACGCCTGACGTCATGGAGCCGCCGTGCTCAGATTCTCCGCAGGGTATGGAGTAGCTGCACTTCCTAACAGGACTGCAGATCCTGGTGGGAAGGAGCTGCACACCAGATTGCGTTCTGCATTTATTCTCACCCTAAAGGGAACCTTCTTTCTAAGTTGATTGCAAGGATGTGACTTCTGGCAATGAAATATTTTCAGTTTATTTTACTACATTTATGTAAATTATATATAGTTAGGTGCACCTCTTTTAAGAGTACCCTGTTTGAGGACTGGAGAGAAGTCTGGAGGGGCTGCAATAGGTGGGAAGCAGAGACTGCTACACCACAGGGTCAGGGAGAGGAGCAAATTTAGGGGAGGGCACGTGGGAAAGGGCTGTGTGAGGAGAGCCATAAAAGTTGACGGTGAGCACGGACAACTGGCCAAACTTGTGAGAAAGTTTATTAGCAACTTGTGGCCTCTGCTGAGGTTGAAGACAATAATTTGTGATAACATCCATCTACACGGTGTCTCCGACACCTTTCAGCAACAACAGGGCGTAGAAAGCAGAGGCAGATGGCTAGACCTGTAAACAGCGAAAGACGTGTTTTTCAGGGAAAGTGCATGCTTTAATTGTGTCTGGTGCCAGTGAGCGTGCTTATCATTTAGTTCTAGTTTCATCAGTTAAGTAAGAAATAAACCAGCTTCTTTATCAACAAGTTATCTCATAGCCTCATCAAAAGAGTAGGCAAGTGTTCCCTCTTAGAAATCTTCTTGAGATAAGAAAATACAATTAAGAAATAACTTGAGAGATGTATTATCTGAAAGATTTTCTGTTCTCCAAAAGGTTTTGTGTAAGACTGTTGTGATTGTTTTCCCCCCTGAAATATTTGATAGAATCCACCAGTTGCCTGGAGTTTTCTTCTAGGAAGATTTTAAAATACCATTCAAATTTATAAATCATTTTAAGACTATTAAGATTTCCCTTTTCCTATTTTGATTCAGATTAAGATGTGTTTTTCTAGGAGTTTGTTCCATTGATGTATTTTTTTTTCAAATTTATTGGCCTCTTATGATCATTTGAAATTTTATAGGCTGTGTGGTGATACTCCCTTTTTTATTACTGATACTGGTTATTTTTGCTTTCTCCCCAGTCTTTATTCTTGAGTAATACTGAGCCACCGTACTGCTCTATTTTCCTGTCAGTTCCCCAGTTCACCTGTCAGTTCAACTCAGGTAGCTTTCCTCTGAGATCCCTTTCTGAAGGCCCCCAGGAGAGCTCTTGTTGCCCTCCCTTGTGCCAACTTAATGTGCTAAGTGGAACTGTTGGCTACAGTGAATAGCATTCAATCCACTCTCTTAAAAGCTCTCTGTGGGTCAAAGATTCTATAGAGTAGACTTGACCCATAGGCTACCAGTTTGCCAGATCCATAACTCCTGTTTTTACATATCTTAGAATATCTGAATTTGATTAATTACTCATATATAAAAATCCTTTTCTAATTTTATCATCTGAAATTTTATTTTGTAAATTTTCCCCCCAAATCTCTAGGTCAAAAGGTAGAAAATGTACAGACTTTGAGTTCTTCAGAGTCCAAGCCTGTTCAAGAAAATAAAGGACATGTGAAGAAAGAACACGAAGGAATAACAGTAAGATATTTTTGAACTGTATCAGTTTGTTATTAAAAATAAGCATATACATTATTGGCAATGTAAATTTATTAGTAGCAGCGATACTTTCTTTTAAAACGTTTCTCCCTTTAGATGGGTTATTGGCGATTGGTGATTGGTTATTGAGATCTCTTAAAGGCTTGCTTGCTTTCTGTGTAAAATTATAGTCACATTACAAAAATAGAAAAAAGTTAGCATGAAAATGGAATTTACCTTCTGGTCTGTACGTAGCACTCAATATTTTTAAGCAGGTATCCTTGCCTGTCAAACATACTCAGATTCCCTGTTCCTAATAACTGCTTTAGGTAGTATGCTCCACCTGACGTGAGTTGCTAGATAAGTGAGTTTTTGCAAAGATCAGTTATGATTTCTTTTTTAGACAATGTAAAATAGCATTTATTGGGTTTTTTTTAGACCAAATATAAAGTATGAAGAAGAACATTAAAAAGTAACCCATATCTCATGTGTGCAGGTAACATAGTATATATTAATGGAAAACTCAAACATCACAGAAAGGTGCAAAATAAACAGAGAAGGCCGCTCCCTAGTCCTCCGTGCCTAGAAGATAACCAGTGTTAAGTTTTTCTGTCTTTATTTTTTAAAAGGGCATATACCAGTTTATGTATGTATATTCTGTATATATGTGTATGTATATTTCAACAATCAAATAAACACCTACATACCCACTGCCCAGTTTCAGAGCTAGAATTTTTCCGGTCCTGTTGCTTTGACCTATAGGTTCTTTCCTTGTCCCCTTAGAGAATAGCAATATGTTGGCTTTGTGTTTATCATGTCCTTGCTTTGGTCTGTAGTTTTGCTCTATATGTATGTATTTCCAAACACTATATCCTTTAGTTTTCCTTATTTTTAAACTTTATTAAAGGATATTATTGCTTTGTTTACTCAGTTATATTTTTAAGATTTATCAACATTGTGGCATGTAGCCTCTTTTCTCTGCTCTATGACAATCCACTGTGAATAAGCCACAGTTTATTTTTCCATACTCTTGTTGATGGACATTTAGGTTGTTGCAACTTTTTTTTAATGAAAAATGCAGCTATGTACATTCTTGTATATGTTTCAAGATCTACATGTTTAAGATTTTCTTTATGGTGACTAGGAGTGGAATTAATGAGACATAAAGTAGAAGAATGTTCTTTACGAGAGAATATGTGTTTTTCGAAGTGATTACACCACTTATATTTCTGTCAGCAATGTGTTAAGAGTTCCCATTCATCCACATCAATACTTGCTATTGTCAGATTTAAAAATTTTGATGAGTCAGATGGGTGAAAATGGGATCTCTTTTTATTTTGCATTTCTCAGACTAATAAAGTTTAAAATCTTTCCACATGTTGATTGACCATGTGTGTTTCATGTGATGTCTTTGCCATATTCCTATTGATTTTTTTTTGTCTTTTTCTCTTTTATTTGTACTAATTCTTTATACAGTCTGAAGACTGATCTATTTTGGTTATATATCTGGCAAATATCTTTTTCCAGCACGTGGCTTATATTTTCACTCTCTCAAGGGTGTCTGTTGATGAACAGAAGTTCTTAATTTTGGTATTTTTGTTAATCATTTTTATGGTTAGGTTTTATGAAATTCTTAAAATGCCAACTCTACAAGCATAAGAATATAAGTGTTTCAGTTTTGCTCTACACATTAGGTCTTTCATCCATCTGGAATTGATTCTTGTTTATGGAGTGAGGTAGGATCTAATTTTATTTTATTTTTCCCCACATGGATCACCATTTGTCCTGGGTCCCATTTATTGAATTCATTTTTCCTTCATTGATCTGAAGTGACACCTTTCTCTCATATATACTTATCTTGACTCATTGGTTACTTTGTCTCTCCAGACAGTAGTATAATATCTTAATTACTCTAGTTCCCCTATTTCTTTCTCCCTTCCTCCCACTTTCTATTGAAAGCTAATTTTCTACTATCTTTTTTCTTTCATTGTCGCTATTGAGAGTTCTTCTGTTCATTCTGTCTAGTTGTTGTTCTTTGCTGTTCTTTTTCCTTGTCCTTTGGTCTTCCTGCATTATATTTAGGTGCATTTTCTTTTGGTTTATACATTTGTCCTTTTTGTATATGCTCTATGCCATGCATCTGTGAATGCTTGGTCTTCCATTGTTTTTGGAAAATTCTTGATAATAATTTCTTCAAATATTGCCTCTTTTTTGTTCTTCAGCTCTTTTTTTTCTAGAATTTTTAGTAGAAATACATCTAGACTTCCTCATTTTTATCTTCCATGTTCTTGTCTCCTTTCTTATTTTCCACTCTTCTTGGCCGTCTTCTACATTCTGGGTAATTCATCAGATCTGTCTTTCATTCACTTCGATAGTTCTGTCTTTACTGAATATGGAGTTGGCTATTTAATACTTGCACTGAGTTTTTTAGTTCAACAATTATGACTTTTGCTTCTGGTTAATTCTTTTCAAGCATTTCTTGTAATTTCTAATAATCTCTTGTTCACTTTTGTGATTCCCATCTTTTATTCCTTTAAAATAGCCACAAATTACAATTCTAAATTCTTTTTGTGATTATCTGAAATCCTTAGGGGTGGGGATGGGATCTAAGTCTGATATTTACTGTTTCTGAGACTCTTGTACATGATGATTTATTTCCTTGGGTGTTGGGTGATCTTTGATTTTGAGTTCCTAGCTGATGGATCTTAATCTACAGAAAACCTGAATGTCTGAAGTGATGGAGTTTCACCAGAACGTGTGCATTTGTTTCTTCCAGGAACAAGGAGTGCTTCTTTAATCCTGGACTCTTGGTCCTTTTGCCAGTGGCAGTGGTAATAATTAGATTTACCCTTATGGCAGCCCTGTTTCACTGCTCTGGTTTCTGCTCACTTTGGGGGGCGGGGGGTGGGGGCGGAGATTGTGGATCACTGGGAGGTTTATTCTACTTCTTGGGAGCCTAAAATTTTGATGTAAAATCTAGTTCTGTAGCTGGAGGAAATTCCGTCTCTCATGTAGTCAGAAGCAGAAGTGCCCGCATTCTGCTTTTTAGTCAAGAAAAGATCCTGGGTTATATTTCTATTATCACATTAGGTATATATCATCCTTCTTTAAGGCTGGGTAATATTTTTTCATGTGGTGTTAGTCTTCTGAATATTTAATCCATGACCTACTTCTGTGTTTTAGCTTCATAATTATTCTGTCTTTTAATTATACATCTCAGCCCCTCCTTTTCATTTGTTTGCTTGTTTAGTAGTCTTCCCTTTAGTTTGCTCATTGGACCCCAGGTTTTTTATGCACTTTTCCATGGAGGACCTTAAATATTACATCTTCATTCCTGACTTTCTCCTCTATCTCATTAGTCCTGGAGTTATGGTGCCCACTTACATTACATTTGTTTGGGATGTTTAGTCCAAAGATGAAAATTAAAATATCAGAAATCTTCTCAAGTTCCTTTGTTCTTATGCTTCCTTCTTTCCTTCTTCCCATCTTTCCTTCCTTCCTTCATTACTGTTGTTCTCATGGTCCCCTAGATTCATATCCTTTTGTAATTTAATTTTCCTCCGCTCTCATATACAGCTCTCATATAAGCTCTTGTCTGTCATTCTACAGCATTTTCTTATTTGTCTTTTCTTCTCCTTTTCCACTGTCAAAAGCCTTATCCTCTCATTCCTTAATCACTATAACAGTTCCATAGCAATTTTCTTCTTAATTTTAATCTATCCCACAAATAACTATTAGACTTATCTTTCTAGTTATATTTTTAATCACAGTAAACTATTGTCTGGAACATACAGTTGCTCGTTTTGTCAATATTGGGTTGAAATTTGTAAGCCTGATGTTGAAGGCCAGTTGGCAGCTACCTCTTTTAGAAGGTGGTCTGTGTTTTCTTCTTAACATTTTCCTTCTTCACCTGACTGCCTTGCTTGGCCTGCTATATAATCAGCTTCTTTTCCTGCACATAGAACTTGCTGATTACTACTCAGTGCTTCCTGCCTTGAATCCCCTCCTGCCTTCTCTCTACTTCATGTCTGTTGCCTTCTTGAACAGCTCTCCTGTAACTGTGAGCCAATTAAGGTAACACTTTATTCTGCATACCTTTTAGAGAGAGTTTACTTGCATATTTTGCTTATGTACCCTGTAATCATTTTGTGTAATGTGTATGTTTTGTCTCTCCAAGCAAGTTATAAATTTTAGAGAATACAGATTGCCTCCAAATGTTTTAGTCCTCTCTATTTAGCACAAGGTTTAGTGTGGAGTGGTGCTCAGAAAAGTCTGTTACACATTTAACAAGGAGGCACTGAGCGACCTTTAGATGTCTGGGTGGAGTTTACACCTTCCCCGCCAGCACCCTCACCATTCCTGGGCAGCTCAGGCCTTCTGCAGAATTGGTTTCACTATGTATGTGTGCTCAAGCAGAGGTACAAATAAAACTTTAAAATAAATTATTTCCATAGAAACTGGCGTCCCTTCTCAGTAGATCAGTTTAATTGGATGTCACTTGACAAAGGAGAAGCCAAAAATTTCAGATCTTGAGTAATTTGTAATTCAATTATAGTAATTTGTGAACACATATCCTTCAAATGGAAAACATCATTCAATTTTTTGTTGCTATTATTGTTTGTTTTTCTTTAGAAATGTGAACTAGAAACTTAACAGTCTTATAAAAATTAGAACTTTCCTGTCACAAATGCATTATTTCTTTTTTGTCTGAAGATCTTAGTTCGAAGAAGCAGCAGCCCTGCTGAATTGGATTTAAAAGATGATTTGCAGCAGACACAAGGAAAATGTAAGGAAACACAGAAGAGTAAGTTCCAGGAAATGCAGTCTCTGTTCATCTAACTTCAGAGTCGATCTATTTTGCTTTCTTCTACTTTCTGACTTGTACGATACCTTATCCTTTGAGGAGACATGGTTGTGAATTGGGACATTTTTATTCCTGGAATCCCAGGATTGATGGATGGTACACGTATGGTAAAACAGATCCAGTCCATTTTGTGTGCCATAGAGGCCTGTCATTCTCCCCTGGGCCTTTCTCCAGGTGAGAGGCACAAGCAAGGCCAATGGCTGGGTGAGCAAACAGACCCAGAAGGAAAAGTGATCTTCCCCAGAAAGTTCCCACAGGCTAGGAGCAAAATGCTTCAGAAGTACATTGAAGTCAATGGTATAAGTATTTAAAAAATGAAATTTGATTCAAATCCTTAGACATATTATATACTGTATGTAGACTATGGCCCTAATAATCTGCTTCCCTGAAGTCAGCTGCTTGGCTGCCCCCTTCTCAGAAGCGTAGTAAACAACTCCTGCAGATCTAGGGTGCTTCTGGTAGAGGCAGAGGAGCTCCTCTTAGGCTCTACCTTCAGACCCTGTTGGCTTGGAGTTCTGTGGCAGATGAAGATAGGGACCTGACACGTTGGTTACTGGGGCAACTTTAAGTTTATCTGGTGGCTGGGACAACTTGCAGCTCTTGGCATGTGAAGAGAGGACAGCAGATTAGAAGCAGCAAGGCTGAGGGACTGTCAACAGTGAATGCAAAGAGCAGACAGGAAGGGTAGACACATAAAACTGTTAGGAAGTAGACAGAAGACTTGGAGGAGCAGACTGTCTAGGTCTGTTTTGTGTCAGACTAAATAACTCTATAAGGCTTAATAGCCTTTGAAAGCATCATTGTATTATGACAAATTAGAACTTTTTAGTGTTTAAAGGGGAGAATTTCTTTTGGAGAAAATCTTTTGCAGTTGGACACCTCATCCCCCAATGAGCCTGGGTGATTCACACTGGGTTTAGGTCTAAACATCGAACTCAAGGTAAAAAGCATCCTTAGGCTCTTGTAGCTGGTAGAATAAACTTGCATTTGTGGTGAAAGGAATTCCCATCTTCTTCTTCCATCTGTGCCCTTTCGTAGTTGAGTAGGTTGCAGTAGAAAGCTGAACGACTTGATGTGATCTTTTGGGGATATGGGATATTGAAGACTCCCTTGAAAAGATTGTCACTTGGTGATACGTAGGGGAGCTCATAATGACCATTAATGCCCTGCACCTAGGAGCTTTGTTTTGTTGACCAAGATCGCCACAACGTCAGCTTTTGAGCCCCCAGCCCCTGAACGATTCCTGCTGTATCAGCTGTTTAGTTACTCGCGTGTTGGTGATTGGGAACATTCTGATTTGCAGCTATTTGTTATCTCAGACTTCGGTTCTTCCACTGTGCCAGGTGAAGGTATCAGCAGTGACACAGCTCTGGGCTATAACAATGAGGCAGAGCTGTCCATGAGCCCATGGCTAACCTGTGAGGAAGACCCAGAACTGAACACTCCCACAGATGCTGTGACTGACTCCGATGCCCGCCATTGGTTACAACTGAGTCCCACCGATGCTTCGAACTTAACAGGTAACTGCATCTTTGAAAAAGAGGCACCAGTGTGACCAGTTGGGAATCCCAGAGTTTCCCAGTTGCAAGAATTCTAGGAATCCTTTAGCACAATGATGATGGGGTGCTACCTCCAGCCAAATTGGTGTGGCAGCCCCAACCACATGTACATAATCAGTCATGAATTCTCCAAGTCCAGTGTGGAAAAGATCCTAAAACAGTGGTCAGACACAGGAGGAAGCAGGCCATGCTGACGACCACTGTCCACCATGGGAGCGAGTGATGATACTCATGCCAAGCCTTTGCCATCCCTGACCAAATTTGCTTGACTCTGGAAACAGAGAAGTTATTTATCCAACTCACATGTATCAAAAATCCAGAATAAGTCAAAGAGTCTGAATAGCTTATTGATTAAGATTTTCTTTAATTTTTACAATAAAATGTTTGACACATACAAGGTAAGTTGTGACCTATATGGAAGTTATGGGCCATAGTAATAAAATGATCATGTGTGAGCCTGCTACCCAACCTAAGAAATAGAATGGCTCCCACACCACTGAAGTTCTCTGTAGGCCCGTCTCAAGTCCCTTCCCTTCTTTCCTCATCCAGTTGCCCTATGTGCCCCAATTTATTCAATAATAATTCCCTTGATTTCTTTATAGTGTAACCACATATATCTGCATCCTGAAACCATGTATCATGTCATTTAGATTTTAGACTTCTAAAAAATGATATCATATTCTGTGTTTTTTGCTACTTTTCTCCCCTGAGTATTATATTTTATAAGATTCATGAATGGACTACAGAGGCAAACTTTCCAGATCTGCATCCAGGCTTTGCCAACTAATTGTTGGGTGGCCTTGAGCAAGTTAATCTCTCTGTCAATTTTGTAAAATGTAGATAGTAATAGTCCCTATTATAAGGTTGTTGGAGAAATAAATATGTAAACACATAAGCCAGGTGCACAGAACAGTGCATGTGGAAGCGCTCTGCAGTTTTAGCTATACACGTGCGCGCGTGTGCACACACGCACACACACATACACACACATACACACACAAGTCCTTCCTGGCCCACCATATTCATGCTTATGTGCAGATATCTTTTAGGAAAACAACAACAAACTAGAAAGCACAAGTTGAGTAAAAAGTGTTATTAAAATGCTAAAAATCATTTTAAAATTATAAATAAAGGCTAAAATTTTGCCTTAGTTTTTTTTTAACCAAGGAAACTTTTGCTTTCATTATAATTATTTTATAAAATTTAACTAAGTAGTCTCTAATGTTCTTGGAAATTGCTGATGGAGTAACATCAAAACTTCATAAAATTTACATAGAAAAATGGTGTTGAATAAAATCGTTTATCTATGAGATAGATAAGACCAAGAAGTATGATCTTAATGTGTATTTAATGTGTGGTATTTTAATAATAGAATAGATTCATGAACGAAGAAAAACAAACCATTTAGCCGTAAGTGAATAATGCATTGCCTTATAATATTTCAGTGCTGTCCTTAAAAGACAGTGGACATCTTTGGTTTATGCATTCAAAGCTGCCAATGGTAGAAGCTTTGCAGAGTCAGTGAGAAAATGATTGGCAAAATTGTGTGCTTAGTTTTATAAATTATTGGATAGCAATTCGTGCTTCTCAAATTTTTGATTCTTTTAAAAATGAGTTAAAATGTTTTACATATAATGATATATAGATAAATGTAATAATTTTAAATAATAATACTGTAAATTTGTAAGGGATTTAACAGTTTACAAAGAACTTTGAGGCATCTTCTCTGATTCTGGATGGTAAGCAGGCCAAGTCTTATAAATGTTGCTTTAGAAATGGAGAAACGGGGACACAGAGAAATCATACTGTCTAGAAAGTAATTGCCAGAGTTGGAACTGGCTTCCAAAGTGTTTTGACTCCAGTGCAGCGCTATGTCTACTCCTTTCTACTGCATTGCTGTTCAAATTACAACTGCAACCCCCTTTAAACTATTTGAGAATTATTTATATATTTATGAAATAAATGGCTTCTTTGGGTCCAGTATACAGATTATCCAAGGGAAATCATCATCATAGTACTGTCAAAGGCAGTAGTGAATTTTCAGTAAGTTGAATTTACTTAAACAAGAACTAGTTTTAATTATTTTTATTGAAAAGAAAGAAAATTGGGTACCTACTTCTTTTGTCTGTCCTTTGGAAAGATTAGTTTTGATCCCATTTCAGAGTATGCATGGGACAGGTCAATTTAATAAACTTGTGTGAGGTAATTTTATATGATGCACTCTGTGTTGTGATTAACTCCTCCAAATACTTTGTTCTTCTTTGAAATACTAATATAGAGACTCAGTACACTCAGTTCAATAGTTCATCTTGTCATCTGTGAAAAGGACAAACTGTAATATGATAAGGTTTAAGGATTATCACAGTTCTGAATTTAACTTTCTGTTCTTAAGAGAACAATTTCTTCATAAATGTACAAAATAAAACTCATGTTAGCCTGATCTTTAGGACATGCAAAGAGAATGATCAAACAATTTGAGTGTATCCTTTCTTATTGAATAATCCTACCAGTTATCAAATATTTAGGATAATAAACTGCTTCTAAAATCTTGAATTCCTTCATCACTGGCAAGCTAATAGTTTTTTATTTGTTTTCTTGTTTACATTATTACATGTTTCCTGAAAATAACAGCTAAATTTATTTTTCTTCATTTCAAAATGGGGATTTATTTTAATCAAGTATGGCAAGACACAAAGACATGGAAATGATTGTTGTGAAGGAACAAGTTTATACTCACAGGTCCGTAGAAACAGGGCCATGGTATGCCATGCTGGGGCAAGGTCGGGGAAACACATGGGGAAGCATCAGGATTGATCAGGAGAGGGGAGAGAGAAGGAAACATGGACAACAGCCTTTATTGTCTTTTCAAGGCAAGGCTGGCAAAGCACATTTAGGATTGGCTAGTTTGAATAAATTCAGCTGATTTTGGAACATTGACTGGTTGTCTGGTTCCTGATCCTGGGGTGCTTAGGCTTTGATGTGTAGGAGCTAGATAAAGGAGGTAGTTGGGAAGTATGAGTGTTGGATTGGTGGGTTTACGTGTGAAAGACGCATGAACTGTTTGCTATCTCCAGGAGTTAACTAACCCTGGGAGGGGCAGTCTCTTCCTGGTCAGGAAAACCATAGATGGCAGAGCATCAAGAATACAGAAAATAATAAAATATAGCTTATACATACATAAATTTTGTTCTGTTGAGGTAATGATTTTGGAGGGAAATATTTATGACTTTATAGCTAGGAAGCAGTATTGCTATTGACCTCATCTCTTATTTAGCAAATAATTTACAACCTAGATATACTGATATTTATACTATAAGAAATAAAAAGGTCAATAAGTCATAGCCGTGTCTGACTTAAGAGCTTACCAAGAAGACAGAAGACATTTATCCTGATAGCCACAAGCAGTAGATAAGTGTTATAGAGTTTTTTAAAGAAAGCTTTAATCACAGGGATAGACAACTAAGACTAATGGAATGGAATATAAAATACATATTGAATCCACACAGGCATGGAATTGTGATATATGAAAGACTTGGCGTTCCAGATCTGACAAGGAAAGAATATATTGTTCAACAAATGCCTGTGGACAAGTATTTAGCCATACGGAGAAAAACGAAATAGAATCCCTAACCTCACACCATGCTCACAGATGGATAGAATACTGAAATGTGAAAAGATTTTAAAACTTTTAGAAGAAAACTTTTTCTAAAAACACGTCTAAGACCTTGAGTTAGGGAAGATTTTCTTAAAATAAAAAAAAAAGCCATCAATCATTATCAATCAATATCAATGAGAAAAATATCAATCATTAATTCAACTTTAGCATACTTAAGATTTTTTCATTATCAGAAAAACTTTAAGAATTCCAAAGGTTTACAGAACTCCGAAGGGTACAAGCCAGCTTTGGTGCTCTTTCCTTTCCAGGTTCCTGTCAGGTCAGTGATACA